GATTAGAGCAGAAATAAATGACATAGATACCAAAAAACAATACAGAAAATCAATGAAACCAAGAGCTGGTTCTTTGAAAGGATAAACAAGATTGACAAACCTCTAGCCAGACTCACCAAGAAGCAAAGAGAGAGGACCCAAATGAACAAAATCAGAAATGATAGAGGCGAAATAACAACAGACCCCACAGAAATACAAATGATTGTTAAAAAATACTATGAACAACTCTACTCCAACAAACTAGACAATCTGGAGGAAATGGACAAATTCCTAGAAAAATACAACATTCCAAAACTCAATCAGGAAGAATCTAATCATAATAAAAGCCATATATGACAAGCCCACAGCCAACATCATACTCAATGGACAAAAACTAACACCATTTCCCCTAAGAACAGGAACAAGACAGGGATGCCCCCTCTCACCACTCCTGTTCAACATAGTACTGGAAGTATTAGCCATTGCAATTAGACAAGAAGAAGAAATAAGAGGCATCCAAATTGGAAAAGAGGAAGTAAAACTGTCCTTATTTGCAGACGACATGATATTATACATACAAAACCCTAAAGACTCCATCAAAAAACTACTAGACTTAATACATGAATTTGGCAATGTAGCAGGATACAAAATTAACCCCAAGAAATCTAAGGCATTTCTATACACCAATAGTGAACTTTCAGAAAGAGAGACTAAAAAAACAATCCCATTTACCATTGCACCAAAAATATTAAGCTACCTAGGAATAAACTTAACTAAAGAGGTAAAAGACCTCTACTCAGAAAACTACAGGACATTGAAAAAAGAGATAAAGGAAGGCATAAACAGATGGAAGAACATACTGTGTTCATGGACTGGTAGAATCAACATCATTAAACTGTCCATACTACCCAAAGCAATCTATAAATTCAACGCACTTCCCATTAAAATACCAACGGCATATTTCACAGATCTAGAACGAACTTTCCAAAAATTCATCTGGAATAAAAAAAGACCCGAAACAGCTGCAGCGGTCCTGAGAAAGAACAAAGTAGGTGGGATCTCAATACCTGATATCAAACTGTATTACAAAGCCGCTGTTCTCAAAACTGCCTGGTACTGGCACAAGAACAGACATATAGATCAATGGAATAGAATAGAGAGCCCAGAAATTGGCCCGAACCGATATGCTCAATTAATATTTGACAAAGGAGGCAAGAACATACAGTGGAGTCAAGATAGTCTCTTCAATAAATGGTATTGGGAAAATTGGACAGATATATGCAAGAAAATGAAACTAGACCACCAACTTACACCATACACAAAAATAAACTCAAAATGGATAAAGGACTTAAATGTACGACGGGAAACCATAAAAATTCTAGAAGAATCCAAAGGCAACAAAATCTCAGACATATGCCGAAGCAATTTCTTCACTGATACAGCTCCTAGGGCACTTGAAACTAAAGAGAAAATGAACAAATGGGACTACATCAAAATAAAAAGCTTCTGCACAGCAAAAGAAACCATCAACAAAACAACAAGAAAACCCACTGCGTGGGAAAACATATTTGCCAATGTCATATCTGATAAGGGCCTAATCTCCAAAATTTATAGGGAACTCATACAACTTCACAAAAGAAAGATAAACAATCCAATCAAAAAATGGGCAAAGGATCTAAAGAGACAGACACCTTTCAAAAGAGGACATTCAGAAAGCCAAGAGACATATGAAAACATGCTCAAAGTCACTAATCATCCGAGAGATGCAAATCAAAACAACCATGAGGTACCATCTCACGCCTGTCATACTGGCTATCTTCAACAAACCAACAAACGACAAGTGCTGGAGAGGATGTGGAGAAAAAGGAACACTCGTGCACTGCTGGTGGGAATGCAGACTGGTGCAGCCACTATGGAAGACAGTATGGAGTTTCCTCAAAAAACTAAAAATGGAACTCCCATTTGACCCTGTGATCCCTCTTCTAGGAATATATCCCAAGAAACCAGAAACACCAATCAGAAAGGATATATGCACCCATATGTTCATAGCAGCACAATTCACCATAGCTAAGACCTGGAAACAGCCTAAGTGCCCATCAGTAGATGAATGGATTAGAAAACTGTGGTACATCTACACGATGGAATACTATGCTGCTGTAAAAAAGAAGGAACTCTTACCATTTGTAACAGCATGGATGGAACTGGAGAGCATTATGCTAAGTGAAATAAGCCAGTCAATGAAGGAAAAATACCACATGATCTCACTCATTCATGGATAATAGAGACCATTATAAACTTTTGAACAATAATAGATACAGAAGCAGAGCTGCCTCAAACAGATTGTCCAACTGCAGCGGGAAGGCCGGGAGGGTTGGGGGGCAGGAGGGAGGGGGGGTAAGAGATCAACCGAAGGACTTGTATGCATGCATATAAGTATAACCAATGGACATAAGACACTGGGGGGTTGGGGAGGCCAGGGGATTGTCAAGGGCGGGGGGGAAGAAAAGGACACATATGTAACACCCTTTGTAATACTTTAAGCAATAAAATAAATTAAAAAAAAATAGATACAGAAGCAGAGCTGCCTCAAACAGACTGTCAAACTGCAGCGGGAAGGCCAGGGGGGTTGGGGGGTAGGGGGGCAGAAGCGGAGGGTAAGAGATCAACCGAAGGATTTATATGCATGCATATAAGCATAACCAATGGACATAAGACACTGGGGGGTAGGGGAGGCCAGGAGATTGTCAAGGGCGGGAGAAAAAAGGAGACATATGTAATACCCTTTGTAATACTTTAAGCAATTAAACAATAAAAAAATCAATATATTTAAAAAAAAGAAAAAAAAAGATATTAAGGCAGCAATTTAAGAGCATTATTACTACTATCAAGAATGAGCTATTGTCTACTCTAACTCGCTTGAGAAATATGACACAGTCCCATCAGTAATGGTGAGTCACTACAGCAGGGATTCTTTCACGGGAGGTGGGCATAGAACAATATACAAAAAGGCTTGTGTAAAAGCCTCAGGAATTCTTCCAATAACCTCCTTTCCCCTGAATCCTCTGGACATCCTTCTACCATGCTGTGAATCAATGTTAGAAAACATTGCCTGAAAAAAAAGTAGTTTCATGTTAATAACTGTCACTGACTAACTAGTGGGCAAAGGTGACACAAACCCAAGAAATAAAAGACTCTAAAAGATTAATAAATATCACAAATAATAGCAGTAAACAAAAGATAAGGGTTTTAGAAGTGAAAAGAATTGACACTAAGATACAGTAAAGAACTGTCAATAACAACAACAAAAAGATATTCTAAAGCCCTAGCCGGTTTGGCTCACTGGATAGAGCGTCGGCCTGGGGACTGAAGAGTCCCAGGTTTGATTCCGGTCAAGGGCATGTACCTTGGTTGCAGGCACATCCCCAGTAGGGGGTGTGCAGGAGGCAGCTGATCGATGCTTCTCTCTCATCAATGTTTCTAACTCACTATCCCTCTCCCTTCCTCTCTGTAAAAAATCAATAAAATATATTTTTTTTAAAAAAGATACTCTAAAGAAATCATTTAAATAACGTAATCTTTTAATCTGAGTAAGAAAATGAAGGGCATCCATATTTTTGGTATCAATTCAGAAGTATAAAGTATATATACATGAATAATATTAAGGAAATAGTAAATTTTCAGATATATAATTTAACCTGATTAGGATCTTTGTGTGTTTTTTTTTTTTTCAACAAAAGTCTACCTTTTTGGAAAGGTAGATACTCTGTGATCTTAGGGAAAGTGCTCCCCATCATAAATATATCTATATGAAAGAACCCCTATGAGTTATGTATAAATTGACATGAATGTAACTGAGAAAAACCAGTTGTAAGTAGTGATGATACTATAAAGAGAGTAATGATTTCTTATCTTAAGATCCTACATTATATATGGCTGACCTTAACTAAGCCTGTTGTTAGATATTATATATATATATATATATATATATATATATATATGAAATTATATAGAGGAAAAAAGCTCAAATACAATATTCAGGAACACTTTAATACACATTAAACAGAAAAAGAAGCACATTTTAAAATTATCAATGTTTTTAAAGATAACCCAATAAATGTATTCATTAATATTTATCTCTTGCTTAGGGAACTGAACAATATCTTTAACTATAGTTCCCATTGCCAAGAGTTGCCATATCCAATATGCATACATTTTATTATACAATGTCTACTAAAAATCAGCAAAAAAGTAAAACATGTCTCTACTAAAGCTATTACTCTCAATATTATAGTGTTTAATTGATTACTGTTATCTTCAGGGATGTTAGCAAATTTTCAGTTGCTCTTTTTTTTTTTTTAAATATATTTTATTGATTTTTTACAGAGAGGAAGGGAGAGAGATAGAGAGCTAGAAACATCGATGAGAGAGAAACATCAATCAGCTGCCTCCTGCACATCTCCCACTGGGGATGTGCCCGCAACCCAGGTACATGCCCTTGACCGGAATCGAACCTGGGACCTTTCAGTCCGCAGGCTGACGCTCTATCCACTGAGCCAAACCGGTTTCGGCTTCAGTTGCTCTTGATACCATTTTATTCCCAAGGTTTGCTGTGTAACTGTGGGTTTGTTTTTAATATTTACCTAAAACAGGGGAATGACTTTACGTGAAAGAAATCCTGCTTCTTTTAGAACCACAAAAGGGACAAAAACAACTAGTTAACTGTTAAGATAGGCAAAACATGCACGGGTTGGTTTTGCTCAGTGGTTAGAGCATCAGACTTTGAACCTAAGTGTTGTGGTCAAGGGTATGTACCTGGGTTACAGGTTCGATCCCAGCCCTCTGCCCAGCCCTGTGTCTCTCTCCCTCCCTTCTAGTCTCTCTAAAAAAAATCAATGGGAAAAATATCCTTTGGTGAAGATCAAAATAAATACAATTTTAAAAAGCAAAAGAAACACTGATTATTACACATTTTCAAGACGAAAATTTTACCATGCAGATTATTCAAAACAACAAAGTTTTACCTCTACACAGGTTTTCATCCCTGAGGCAGCAGCATAGTGCAGGGGTGTGTTTTTTTTGTTATCTACAGCATCAATAGCTGCTCTCTCATATTCCCCTTGGTCAAGTTTGGCTCCTTTCCATCTTAAGATCATCTGCAGACAATCTGCTCTTCTAAAATCATCTTCCATGGGGCGTGCTAAACGAGGATGAAGGGCTCCTTCAGATATCATAATTTGAGGTCCCATACACAACAAATGCATAGATGTTTCATTGTGCACATTCCGTTTATTTGGATTTCCATCTCTACCAAAAAGAAAAGTCCTAAAGTAGTAAAGGAAAAGAAGGACAAAAATCAATTATTTCCTACTTGGAAATAAGAATACATAGAAGATAACAAATTTAAAAGATAATTATGAATATGCACATTTGATACTATACCAAAAATTCAACAAGTTGTCATTTATTGCTAATCAAACCTAAAGATTACTTTTCAGACTCTGAAATTAATATCAAAGAACCTTCTTCACTGCTACATTAAAATCCAATGATCTACCTTGCATTATGAATAATCTTTTACCCATGCATAATTTTAAAAAGTCATATACATAATGATCTTCTGAAAAGTACTGATTCACCAAGTTATGCAGATTTTCTAGATGTTGTCACATTTCATTTCAAATATTTTCTTAAAATCCTATTAGTTTATACCACCATAAATCTTACTATAATCCTGGTCATAAGAATATTTCCTTGTGCAATAATTTTTTAAAATATATTTTTATTCATTTCAGAGAGAAAGAAAGTGGGAAAGAGATAGAAACTACAGTGATAAAGAGAGAATCACTGATCTGCTGCCTCCTGCACGCCCCGCACTGGGGATCGCCCCTAACCTGGGCATGTGCCCTGACCGGAAATCAAACTGTAACCTCCTGTTTCATAGGTTGACACTCACCCTCTGAGCTAGCAGGCAGGACCCTTGTGCAATGATTTTATAAAATTTATTTTTACTTTGTGTAAGATATTATGCTAGATGCTAGAAGTACAAAAAAGACAGAAGTACAAAAAAGACACTTTTATCACAAAGTTGCAATTTAGATAGGCAGAGAGAAGATACAATGAGATAGTGAATGCCAAACAAGTAATAAAAACAAAAAAGAGCTGTATAAGTTAAAAAAAAAAAAAGAAAGAAAGACTGAGGTTCTTGTGAGTTGTGACAGGCTAAGAAGATAAAGCCTTCCCAGGACCTTGAAGGAAGGGTAAGATTTAGCAAAGAAAGAGAAAGCTGAGTGGAGTGGGGAAGGGGATTCTGGGGCAAAGAGAGCAGCATGGACATGGCAGACAGAACACACATGGCATGTTTCAGGTATATAAAAAAGAACAGCTTGCCCTAACCAGTTTGGCTCAGTGGATAGAGCATCAACCTACAGACTAAAGGGTCCCAGGTTCGATTCTGGTCAAGGGCATGTACCTTGGTTGCGGGCACATCCCCAGTAGGGAGTGTGCAGGAGGCAGCTGATCGATGTTTCTCTCTCATCGATGTTTCTAACTCTCTATCCCTCTCTTTTCCTCTCTTTAAAAAAATCAATAAAATATATACATATATAAAAGAACAGCTTAATTTGAACAACAATTTGTATAAAATGAAATTTAAAAAGCTTGAAAGTTTTTAAGTTCTAAAAAGCTTTGAATACATGTTTAAGAATTATGTTTCACTGTGTAAGCAAAGAAGTGTTTCTTTCTTTCTGTTCTAGCATCAGACTCCCATAGCTGCATAATCTACTTCTAAAAAAACTAAATTTGTTTTGGAGCTACTTTTCTATCCTTTGCTTCTTTCATGTTATAAGCTAGTAAATATCAAATTTAACTCCCTTGTAATTAGGTAAGAATCTGAATAAATATATTCCCTGTTACTAATACTTGAAAAGCTTTAAGTTTGTTAGTATTTTAAATTTTAAGGAAATGTTTCACTTTTAGAAAAGTCTTCTTAAGTAACTAAACCCCATTAAAAGAAAGGAAACTCAAATCTGATCATAACTAGATAAGGCAAAAGTATCTGTTTTTCAACTTCAACTAGTGAATCAGAGCTTAAGAACTTTGCTATAGGGCCCAGTCCCTGCAATTTGTTGATAAGTACTTTTCTAGAATCAAAATCATTGTAGCAACAAAAATATGTGAACCAACCTCACTATTAAAACTTTTGGTCTAATTTAGACTTAATTTTAAAAAGTCATACCTAATAATTTAAGCATATTCAGTTTTAGAAATTTCAATTCACTACAATACCATATAACACCCACATCTGTATGTATATATTTTCAAAGATCAGGGTTTTTTCCCTCTTTCACTAATATGTTTTTCTCCCTTGACTAATTTATTATCAACTTGTTTATAGGAATACTTACCCTAATATTCTATTCATTCCATGTCTAGCAGCATAGTGTAATGGAGTATTGTGCTGGTAGGGTTCCCCATAAGATGTATTAGGATCAAGGGATTCTTTTAGCTGAGGGTTGTTTTCGTATATTTGGCAGGCCAGGTTTTCATCACCATTGATGAGTGCTTTACGAAATTTGGTGGTTGTATTTCCCATGTTTTGTTTTGTTGTTTTGTTGTTTTTTTCTGAGAGGCAATGGCACTTTTTTCCTCCCCCTTCAGCCACTTCTTGAATGCTTCTGCAACATGTTTCACATTCTAATAGAGAAAAAAAAGATCAAATGAGACTGGGAAACAATAATTATGAAGCAGTATCCTAAAGAAACCATCACAATTAAGAACACTAATAAAATCTAGAAAGAGAAGGTAAAGTGACAACTTATACTAGTATTACATTTATCTTACTAGCCAAAAAAGTCTCAAATTTTTAACACTGTCCAAATTAACTTCTTGTTAAACTGTAACATTTTCCAGTACAGAGACTGCTAAGGTTTCACAGGCTGTACTTTGTACTATTAAAGTTATCTACATACAGTAGCTTTTCAATGTTCCTCTTTACATGAACAGGAAATGCATTTAACTGAATTTTATGGGTGAATGTATTTAAATTTCTATATAAACTATGTATAAATCTGACTCTACCAACTTGTGGGATAGTGAAAAATGTAGATTTTTATTTTTGCTCATATAAGAACTACAGAATAGATGTTAAATTGAAACTGCTCAGTACTCATAAGGACATCAGAGAAAAGGTTACAAATATAAACATATAGGACCATACAACTCAAGTGGTTAATGAGATAGTCACAGTGAAGTATTAAAACTGACTATACACAGAACAATGGAAACTGTTTATTCTACCTTAAGACCATTACATTTATTTATTTCTACTATGAAGAATTTAAAACAAAACTGAAAACATCAAATACTTGCACATACTATGTTTAGAAAGAAGCTAAGATAATAATTATATGGGCATTAACTACTGAAACAATGTGACGTGGGCAGAGGAAGAAGGACATGGAAACAATCACTGGATTTGGAGCTCAAAATCTCTTACCTACTTACACTAGCTGTGCAATTTTGAGCTATTTACCCTCTAAAAGCCTTGGGTTCCTAACTGCACAGTAAAAGAAAATGACTATTCCTTTAAAAAAATATTTTTATTGATTTCAGAGAGGAAGGGAGGGAGGAAGAGAGATAGAAATATCAATGATGAGAGAGAATCATTGGTCAGCTACCTCCTGCACACCCCACATTGGGGATGGAGCCCACAACCTGGGTATGGGCCCTGATTAGGAATCAAACCATGACATCCTTGTTCATAAGTTGACGCTAAACCACTAAGCCACACTGGCAGGGCAGAAAATGACTATTTCTTAAGGATGGCTGTGAGGATTATAAGTATTTTATTTAAAGTACCTACCACAGTCCTTGACTAGTGTATTCAATAAATGCTAGCTTCCTTCCATTCCAAGAAATGATTCTGAATCTACTCTTGAACTATGATCAAAATAAGTGATAAAGGAAACAGCATATGCAAAGGCAGGTATAAAACAAAAGGCTTATTCAGTACGAATGAAGTTCAAGTTCTCTAGTGTTGAACTACCAGGAAATAAAATAAAATACTAGGTTGGGTCCAGACTGATAAACTTTTACTTTAACCTGTAAAGAACAGATAATTAAAGGCTTTATGAAGGGCAATGATATAATTATTTTATGCTTTGGAAAATTAGTTATTGTGACATTGTAGAAGATAGACTAGAGGGAGAAAAACTTAGAAGGAGAATACAAGAATCCATCATGTCACCCAGTTAACTCAGTGGCAGGCTGGACATTAAAACATAGCATTAAGAAAAGTTGAAAATAATACGTACTTTTTCAACATAAGCTTTGTAGAGGCAGTAACAGTTTTAACAGAATACAAATTAAAGGAGTGAAAAACAATTTAGTTTTTGTTTTTTTTAATGTTTTGGCTTTTAGAGAGGAAGGGAGAGGGACAGAGATGAGAGAGGAACAACACCTATCGGCTACCTCCTGAAAACGCTTTACTGGGAATTGAGCCTACAACCCAGGCATGTGCCCTGACTGGGAATTGAACCAGCAACCTCTTGGTTGCTGGGTCGATGCTGAGCCTTACTGGCTGGGGTGGTTTATTTTTCTTTTTAGTTTTCTGTATAACAGAGGCTCTCAACTTTGGCTATACATTTAATAACATGGGGAACTTTGCCGGGAGCCGGTCCATGCTTGCTGTTTCAAGGGACCTGGCATATATAGCATACTGTTCTTAATATGTTTGCTCACCTTCTTGGCACTATGTGTTTTAACCAAGGTCTCTGAGAAAGGTTGTTTTCCCAGGTAGGGATTTTCCCCTGAAGTTAGGGAGGGAATAAAACCTCTTAACTAGTGCCAGGTGGGTAATTAATCACTTTAACTATGAACAATCATGCTTAAGCTACATAATCTTTACTCCCTGGAATGGAGATAAGAAACGCCCTAACCTTTGTAATAGAGATTGATAGGATTGAATCAACTGGTATAAATACAGATGTAATAAGACAGCAAGACACAGAACTTAGAATACGGAACCAAGAGAGACAGAACCTAGGCACAGAACCTACACAGAACGTTCTCTAGAGACAGAAGAACTTCGCTGGAGAGAACATGGCAAAAGATCCTGGACAGAAACTGGCCTCAGAACCTAGAGACAGAACCTAGCGAGAGAACATGACAAAAGATCCTGGCCTGAACCTGACTACAGAAATTGGCAAGAGAACCTGACTAGAACTTGGTGACTGAACCTGGCTGGAGAACCTGGACAGAACCTGGCTGGAGAACCTAGCGAGGGAACATGGTAACAGAACCTGGCTGGAGGTCCGAACCAGAACTTCGCTGGAGATCCAGACCAGAACTTGGCTGGAGATCCTGGCTGGAGATCCTGGCTAGGCTGCTGATCAACTGAACACTGTCTCCGTGTCCTTCCTTCTTCGCCGACTCCGTCCACACCTTTGGGGACCCCTGGACCTGCTGGGGCAGGACCCCAGCAGAACTTCATTGGCCAAGCTACATCCCAGATAAATAAAATCAGAGTCTCTAGTGGGAGGCACCCAGGCCTTAGAATTTAAGCTCCTGAGGTGAGTTCAATGTGCATACACCACTGTATAAAAAGCTCCTGAATACCTCTAGCTAAATGTTATATCTGAGTATGGAGATCAAGGTGAGCAGGCAGGATAAGACATCTGTTAAACTTATTTTAGAGATAGGTATTAACTACCTACTTACTATAGCAGTAGACTTTCTGGCACACAACTATACTTAAGAAGGTCATCATTTGGCTCTTTTAAAGGTTGTTACTGACTTTTTACTCTAAATATGCAAATACATATACAGAGAATGTTTTGAAAATATGAAAAAAAAAGGACAAAAACTCCTTGTCTCTTTACTGCAAGATAACCACTATTAGCATTTTGATAAATAACTGCCTTATTTATAATGTACATAAATATGTGTTTGTATGCATATGTACTATTTATATATACTACTATATAAATACTAGAAACCCGGTGCACAAAATTCGTGCAAGAGTAGGCCTTCGCAGCTGTGGTGGCTGCCTGGATTCCTCCCTTGCAGCCACAGTGGCTGCCTGGATCCCTTGAATCTGGGACAGCTTTCTCGATCCCGTGGCTGCAGCCCCAGCTTCGTCCAGAAGGTCGTCCGGAAGGACATCTGGTCTAATTAGCATATTACACTTTTATTACTATAGATATACTATAAATACTTATATATATATTGGATTATGCTACATAATTTTAAACAATTTATTTAACTTTCTAGAGAGTTGTTAAACCTTTATCATAAAGTCATTTATCATCTCATCTTGAATGAGGAGCAAACTCCCCCTCCCACAATCTATCAAAATATACTATAGCCACTTTTGGGATTTTTTAGCAACAGCCTGGATTTTATTTTTCTTTTGTTTTTCATAGAATCTAGGAGCCATATGTTTATCCTTAGTGAACTAATTTGTTTTGTTGTACTGCTTTAAGCACTTTAAGAGTTTATTATTCTTAATGAAAACTCCATTCAGTTCATTGTATATTTTTATTTATAAAAAAATATAAAGAATATCATATGGAAAAAGAAATCATATGGGTTCTAAAAGGTCTTTCCTAAGGATTTGGAAACTTTCAATTGTCTAGCCTTATCTTTCTTCCCTGACAGACTATAGCTCAAATTATGAACATTTCAGAGTTTTCGATTACACTAATAAATAACATTATCATTGAATTACATTATTACTTTAGAGAAATATCCTATATGAAAATAATTTCTATCCAACATGTGAAAAAAGTATCTAAGAAAGCAATTATATCATCATGGGAGTACTTAGTTAAAACAACCAAGATACTTAAAAAAAAATCAATAATACTCTAAATGTGCATTTAAATATTACTGTTACTCATGTTGAAAGCATAATGGTATCTGGAAATCTTTTTGTAGTTCTCAGTTATTTTCAAGTATGTTTCATTTTTAAATATGAATTCAATAAGCCTGAAAGTCACCAGGAAATGCATCATTTAAAGCAGCCATAATTCTATTCTCAGATTTATTTTCACAAGTCTTGCCAGATTTGTCCTTTTACTTTTTCACAGCTATAGCAGCATAACCTGAAGTGACTGTTTTCCCTTTATTTTTGAAATCAAACACTTAAGTACTATTTCTCCAACTCTAAGATAAATCTATATAGAGAGCTTCAAGATACAAGTGATAGATTATCAAATAACTTCTTATTTTGGGCTTTTAAGTTATACAGGAAAATCCAGGTAAAGCTTCATCACTGACTAGTAAAGTAAAGCACTTAATAAGTATTTAATGAAAAAAGTAAGAAAAAAACACCGCCAATGAACACCAGATAGCTTTCCCTAATTTTTCATTAACTTTTAAATGTGAAGGGCTCTATAACTCTTGCTTTAAACCTTTGTCTCTCAACTTTCCCATTCATAGGTTAATAATCAGTGCAACAACTCAAGTGCACTTAAATTAATAAACTACCGCCAGAAACCTTTTACAGAAGATGAAATACTTCAGATATAAGTAACATCTAATTTATCTGTTTCTACAAAAGTAAATTATCTTAAAGTCATAATTACGGATTGAAATTGTTGACCTAAACAAAATAAGTGACTCCTATTTTTCACTTAACAGGAAGAAGACCCCATTATTACACATGCGTACGTACACACATCATCCTGCAACTT